ACTTTGAGTGTTATTTATGAGGGAATTATGGTGTAAAAAAGGGCTCCAAACCTAAATTCTTTCAAATAGGTAACTTAAGTGTGTAACATGGTCTAGCTGAGACACTGGGGGACTAACTAATATATTGTTGGTGGGAATAGAATATGGTTTAGGCAGTCTGGAAAACAGGTGGTTTCTCAACAAGTGAAACAGAGAACTTCCAAATGGCCCCATAATTACATTCTGCCAAGTTACAAATATATTCAAATAAGTAGCTTTTTGTGTGTTCATATCAACACTAACCATCATAGCCAAACATTCAAATTTCATTTAATGGATGACTGGATAAACAAATGGTGTTTACATACAGTGGAGTATTATTCTGCTATAAAAGAAAAAAAATGCTGACAGATACTACAATATACCTCAAAACATGCTAACTATAAAAAACCAGACACACAGGTCATGCATTGTATGATTCCATTCATATGAAATATTCAGGATAATCAAGCAACAGAAGGCAGACAGATAGTTACCAGGACTTGAGGGTAACTGCAGAGAAACAGAGAAGCTGCATAATAGGTAAGATGTTTTTGATCTGGAGTAATGGAAATGTTTTGCAAGTAAAAAGGGGTGGTGGCGATACAGCATTGGGAATATTTAAAGTCACCTGAACTGCTTACTTTAAAAAATTATACTTCATCTCAATAAATTAAACAACAGGGGATGCAGTGAAATAGAATACATACATACACATCTATAATACTCCATTTTAAAAAGTCTTCTATTTTGGCTAACCAGTAATTATCAAACTGCTCAAGGTCACAGAATGAATAAGACCTGGAAACATGCTTATTCACATCCATCTCTCCGAAGACATAACAAAATTAAAGTGAGAGATCAATTGGAAGTAACCTCTGGGTGAAGTAGCAGGTATCTGAACTTAAAGAAATGGCAGTGGAAACAGATTATAAGGGGACAAATTAAACATATCTCAAAATATGAGTCATTAACTTTAGGTGAATGGTTACCCATAATGAAATCAAAGATAAAAATTGCAAAGTTTCCAATCTCAATTGATGGGAAAGTAGCAAAATTTTAAAAGGAAAATGAAGGAATCATGCTAAAAGGGCTTTTAAAAATAAATCTATTTGTTTTTTCCCTTCCAATGTTTGTTTTCTTTTCTCAGCGGTAGTCCCCAGAGCTTCTACCACCAATTCACCTGTGCACCATCACCACACTCCCTGTGCTCTTGCTGCCCTCCTTGTGAACCCTTCCCCTCTCCCTCCACTACAGAATAACTCTATTGGATTTACTCAATATCAGAGTCAAACACTGCTGAGATTATAACTTAGATTCAGTTGTACAAATTTATTTAATTTTGCAATCTTTGGGCCCTCCCTGGTGGCACAATGGGTTGGAGTGCAGCACTAGTGGCAGTGCCAGGGTGGTGACCCACATGGCGCGCAGACCTCTCCTGTCTCACCTGTTGCTCCCCTCAGCAGTGCTCACTCTGCCTGTTCTGCGCCCTACTCTGTCTCTAGTGAATCCTCTCACCACCTCTGAACCTCTGGCCTGTAACCCAGTTGTGTATGCAGAAATAAATAAATCTTAAAAAAAGGAAAAACTAATAACTTTGCAACCTACTGTATCCTACTAACTTTTGGTGAAAAAACAACCACAAAGCAACCTTAGACAGAATCTTACCTTTCTATATCCTGTGAATTAAAAGTTAAAGCATTAGCCCTTGTGGGATATCTGATGTTTAATTTTCTTATATTCAGTAGGAAGTTTTTTTCTTTAGTGCTAATTTCTTTTAAAAGGGAACTAATATCCAGATCTACAAAGAACTAATAAAACTCAACCAAAATAAAACAAAGAAGTCAAGTTAAAAAATGGGGAGAAGAACTAAATAGACACTTCTCCAAAGTAAACTAAACAGACACTTCTCCAAAGTAGATACAGATGAATAGCAGGCACATGAAAAAATGTTCAACATCATTTATTATCAGGGAAATGCACCTCAAAACCACACTAGAAAGCTACTTTAAGCCTGTAAGAATGGTTCATATCACAAGAGCCAGAAACAATAAATGCTGGTGAGGATGTAGGGAAAAAAGAATCCTTGTGAACCTTTGTTTATTGTCGACTGACCCAGACTCCATGGGAAATAATATGGCATTTCTTCAAAATATTGAAAATAAATGTACCATGTGACCCAAAGAATACAAGAACATTCATTCAAAGGGATATATGCACTCATAGTTATAACAGACAAATTATATAGTGTCCAATGACAGAGGAGTAGATTAAGAAGAGCAGATTAGAAATGCAGAATATATACAGGATATGCTCAGCTATAAAAATGAATTCATTTGCTTAGCATAATTCTCTTAAGTTCTATGTCACAGATGGCAAGATTTTACGTCTTTTATAGTTGAGTAAGTAGTATTCTACCATGTAAAATATAGCTTCTCTATCCAATCATAGGTAAATGGCAACTTAGGTTGTTTTCATATTTTGGCTGTTGTAAACAGTGCTGCAATGAATATAGTGGTGTATATACCTTTTTAAAATACATGTTTTTGTTTTCTTCAGATAGATACCAGGGAATGGAATTGCTGAATCATATGGTAGATCTAATTTTAATTTCTTGAGGAACCTCTATAGTGCTTTCCATAGAACTGTACCAATTTAATATTCCTAGAAACGTTATATGAAGGTTTCATGAACTCAGTTGAAAGCCCCCAAAATGGGGATATTTCCCTTAGGAAACTCAGGTCAACTCTAACATGAGAGAATGGTCTTATCTGTTCTTTTGAACTATCTATTTCAAGTAAGGACCAGACTAGTCTCTACCTGAAAGCTCTACAAAACAAGTTAAAGTTCTTAGTCTCCTTCTTCACTGTTTATTTATTATGTTTTTAATAACACAATGATATACTGAGTTCATTACTGAAAGAGAACCAGTCTTGACAGTAGGTCCTATCTTTCTGAATTGCTCCTCCCCATCCATTCATCTCCTTCCATTCTCCAAGGCTACACATTACAGTAACAACAGTGATGGTTTCCAAAGGGGTGTAAAATATTATGTCATATTATGCAGCAATATATTCATGGAGCTCCTATTAAAAACCAAAGTCTGGTAAAAATGGTTACTTAACCAGGGGCAATGAAAAGGGACAGAGTGCTTTCATAAAACAATTTAGCAAAAATCTATAAAATACTGCTGTAAATATTAATACCCTCTAACCTCATAAGCTCATTTCTATAGCAATCAATCCCAAGAAAAAACTCTAAAATATGGAAAACACAACACAACAGGATGAACATCATAGTGTTATAGATATATGGGAAAACCTCAAACAAAAGAAATGTTCAATAAGAAGAAAATTGAGTTTTCCTTATTGAACAATTCCAAAATTGTTTCATTTTTTTTTTTTTTTAAAGATTTATTTATGTATTTGTGCATACAGAACTGGGGTACAGGCCAGAGGCTCAGGGGCGGTGAGAGGCTTCACCAGAGACAGAGTGGAGGCTTCACCAGAGACAGAGTGGGGAGCAGAACAGGCAGATCTACAAAGTACACTGCTGAGGGGAGCAGCGGGCGGGTCAGGAGAGGTCTGGCTCGCCATGTGGTCTCCTCCGGGGCAGGCTGCAGGCGGGAATCGAACTCATGCGGAAGTGGCTTCAGATTCTCAGTACTGTGCTTTAACCCGCTGCGCCACCAGGGAGGGCCAAAATTGTTTCATTTTTAAAAATAAGTTTTTCTTATTGAACATTTCTTTTAAAAAATTATTTATTTATGCATACAGAACTGGGGTACAAGCCAGAGGTGCAAGGGGGAGCTAGAGGATATACCAGAAACATAGTGGGGAGCAGAGTAGGCAGACTGATGAGAACACTGCTGAGGCGAGCAGAGGGAGAGACAGGAGAGGTCTGCTGCACCATGTGGGTCATCTCCCAGGAGGGGGAGAGAATTTGTACCTAAGCAGATGCCGCTAGCTTGCAGTGCTGAGTCCTACCCATTGCGCCACCAGGGAGGGTCTTATTGAACATTTCTTTTGTTAATTGGTATTTTCTCAATCCCTGAATAAATATAACTACTATCAAGTGACAGTCTGAAATTACTTTTGATGTTAAAATGAATTCTTATTTTCAAATTAGAAATTATAAATTCTTTGCAAATTTAGTTTATACATTATAGTAACAACTGTACAGGCTGTTTTTCAAAGGGGTATAAATGTTATGTCATATTCATAGTATATATTCATGGAGCTGCTAATCAAAAACCAAAGTCTGGTAAAATGGTTAATTAACTAGGTACAGTGAAAAGGGGCAGAGAATAAAAAATAAAAATACTAGAATTTTCAAAGGTAACATCAATCTTCTTTATTTTTTAAAATGTTAAAGTAACTCATGTCCACATAAATCTGAGCATTATTATCTAAAGTCAAATTTAGCATTATTGCCTCATTGAGCAATAGAATATATAGTTTTTAACATTAGATGGTTTTTAGAACAAAGAGTCTAGAGAATAAGTCTGATGTAATTAGAGGAATTATTAGATGACACTTACCTCTTTTCTGTGAAAAATGAAAACCTCATGTCTCATACACAACTTAAATCAAAATAAATCATAGTCTTAAATATAAAATTAAAATGCAGATGGATCAAAATTTTAGAGGAATATGTAGGGAAAAATGTTAATGATTTGGGTTTAGGCAAAGAATTCTTGAACATGCCACCAAAATCACAACCATAAAAAACAGAAATCAACTGAACTTCATCAAAATTAAAATGACACTTGAAGTCAATGCTATAAATAAAAAGGTAAAAACAGTTTTTTAGCATTATGTAGTAGAAATAAATATATCAGGTAAAATATGGCCATAACATATAATCCAGATTTCATAAATGTATGAGGATATACGAAAACAGAAATTTTTCTCTTTAAGCTTCCTAAAAGTATAGTAAAGTTTATTTGGTGTTTTTTAATTTAATTGATTATCAACACTTACCAGCAGCTTCCAGAACCAACTGTAATCTGGCTTTGGCCTGTTCGGCTGGTGGCTAAAAAACAACCACAAAAGACAGTGACAGGTGAGTTTTTATAGAGGGAGCTTTAAATTAATGTATTATTAGGCAAGTACCAGGAAATTTGGAGAATTTTATCATAATATTAATAACATGTCACATTTTAACAAAATTCTACCACAGCAGCTCCAACAATCTACTCTCATATTTTAGTAGTTAAGTCACATTTTTCATTAATACAAGGATAAAATTATTTCACTCTATTTTTACTGAAAGGGTTTTTTTTACCAAACAACTTTGTAACAATTGGTAATAGCTTAAATAACTGCAATCTAATAATAAGGCAAATGCCCCACATTTAGCAATATGTGTTAAAGTTGTGCTATTTCTTTACATATGGAAATATGCACTTTAAGTAACACTTTGAAATCCAATACTTCAGGCAAGTCATATCCTAAAACCAAATATTTTCTGCTTTCCTAACTGTATTTGAAAGGAATAATTATAGATAAATAGGATACTATAGAGATTTATGTTTTCCCAAAGTGATTTTAACATTTCCACCAGCAGTTTATAAGCATTCCAAGTATTCCACATCCTAGCAATAATGTAGTACAGTTAATTTTTTTAATTTTCAAAATTCGGACAGGTAGGTACCATATTGTGATTTTAATCTATATTCTGTTTAAGACTGTGTTGAGCATTGTATCATGTATTTATTGGTAACCATATATCCTTACTGATAAAACATTTGCCAGTTTTTAACTGGGTTGCCTTCTTAATACTGAATTTTCAGAGTTATAAATTATTTGAATTATAATGAATTTTTCATTTCAATTAGACCACACACAGAATTATATTTATTTTTTTAATAAAGTCCTCTCCTCCCCATCGAGTGGCTTTTTTTTTTTTAATTTATTTATTCATGCATACAGAACTTGGGTACAGACCAGAGGTGCAGGGGCAGCAAGAGGATTCACCAGAGACAGAGAGGGGAGCAGAACAGGTCGACTGAGGAAGTACACTGCTGAGGGGAGCAGCGGGCAGGTCAGGAGGGGTCTGCCGGGGTGCAGATCGAACTGATGCAGAAGTGGCTGTAGCTTCTTAGTGTTGTGCTTTAACCCGCTGCGCCACCAGGGAGGGCCTGAATGGCTTATTTTTTCATTGTCTTAAGAGTGTCTTCCAAAGAGCAGGATAGCTTACTTTTGATGATGTCCAAGTTATCAATTTTTATAGTGAATCATTTTAAAGTAGTATATCTAAGAAATCTTTACCCAACCTCAATTTACAAAGATATGTCCTATGCTTAAAACTACAAGTCTCACATTCTATTTTTACATTTAATTACAATAAAAACATTTAGTTTATTATATAATGCAACATACACTTTAAAACTCTTTAAAATTTGTGAGTATTACTGCTATCCAAATGTTCCAGCACTTTTTTTTTTTAAAGATTTATTTATTCATATAGAACTGGGGTACAGGCCAGAGATGCAAAGGGTGAGAGGGTTCACCAGGGACAGGGTGGGGAGCAGAACAGGCAGATCGATGAAGTACACTGCTGAGGGGTACAGCGGGTGGGTCAGGGGAGGTCTGCTGCGCCATGTGGATCTCCTCGGGGCAGGCGGGAATCTAACTCATGCGGAAGTGGCTTACGCTTCTTAGTGCTGTGCTTTAACCCGCTGCGCCACCTGGGAGGGTCCATGTTCCAGCACTTTTTAACAGAAAAGACTATCATTTTCTACTCAATTGCCTTTGTCCTTTGAAAAACTATATTTATATGTAGTTGACTATATATGTAATCCATATTCAATTTATACAATAAAGTATATATCCAATTGTTTATATGTATTTGAGAACATATCTACATTTTTGACACATCACCTCCCGCGGCGCCTAAATGAAATTCCTTAGAGCTTGGCACGGTCAAGGTACAGGGCACACGGGAGGAATACGTGGCCCTCCAGGAATAAAAGAATGGCTGATTCTTGAATGGTCGCTGTAACTTTTGATTTGTTTCCTGATTCTGCTGACACACAACGTACTAAACCAAAGAAATGTTACGAACACTGTGCTTCGTTCTAATGATACTCTTGAAAGGAATGTAGCCTCCTTTGTTCTCGATACTGATTTAATTCTGAGAAACTCTGCTACAATCTTTAATTCTATTAACTCCTGTATACCAGGTGGCTTGTAAAAGAATGGAAAGAGCAATTAAAAGGATTAGTAAGGCAAAAGTGATAGATAGGGTATTTGTTTAGCACTACTGAACCTTGAATACACAATGGTTTCTCAGGGCCCCAGGTTGGTTTCCGGTCCCTGATGACATCTCAGAAACAATAAAAATATGTATTATCTGTCACGCTTCTATTGAAAGAATCATTGTACCCCTGTATTTGCTTGCCAAGAAAAAATTGTATAAATGCCCTGCACTCTTAAAAATAAATTACATTCAGATAGGCACTCCTAGAAATCGTGTCTGTCTGTCACTCAACCTCATCCTTGTCCACCCTGCGCCAGAATTGCCATCCCTGAAACTTGTCTCCTGCTCCTGCTGCGCTGGTCCACGGCATATTTTTAGACTATTCTGTTCCACTGGTATTTTTGACACCCATTATTTTATTGCCTTGATGGTCATAATGTTATACTAACTTTAAATCATGTAAAATAATTCTTCAGGGCCCTCCCTGGTGGCACAGTGGGTTAAAGCACAGCACGGAGAAGCTAAACTCACTTCAGCATGAGTTTGATCCTCTGCCCCGGAGGTGATCCACAAGGCATGCAGACAAGTCCTGAACCACCTGCTGCTCCCCTCAGCAGTGTACTTCCTCAGTCGGCCTGTTTTGCTCCCCACTCTGTCTCTGGTGAATTCCACTCACTGTCCCGGCACCTATGGCCTGTACCCCAGCTATGTATGCATAAATAAATAAATCTTTAAAAATAATAATAAATATTTTCCTTCTTTCCAACATAGTTTTGGGTGTCTAGTTCTTATGCACCCCTCAATTTTAATACAAGTTTATTAATTTCTGCCAGAAAAGAAAAAAACAAACTGATGGATTGTACTGAGTCTACCTGTTAATTTGAGCAGAAAGGACAATTTAGCATCACCAAGTTTTAATGTGGTATATCTTTGCTCATTTTTATTTTTTACACTTTATATATGGAATGTGTCTTTTTTTAATAGGCAGCAAATAGTTAGATCTTATTTTTAACACACTCTGAAAAATTCTCCCCTTTAACTGGGGCATGTGGATCAATTTACAGAGAATATTATATTAAACACCGAACCACTATTTGTTTTCTATGGTCTATTCTTGCCTTATTTTAGAGTTGATAATTTTTTAATTCCATATTTTATTCTTCGTTGACAAAATTTTAAAATTTTGGTTATTGCAGTAGAGATTAAACTACTTTAATTTACACCCTTTATCTTCATTATGTGATTTCAAATATAGTCTAAAACTGTTTCTCCCCTTTCAGCCTACTTATGTTGTGGCTGCTATAAAACTCCATATGCCTTGTGTTGTTTATGCTTTCAGCAGTCTACCTAGGATATTTTAAAGATGTTGTTTTCCTGACTTGCATTCTGCATTGTTTCAGGTCTTTCATGTTATCAAATAAATATTTTTTTCAATCTACTTCTTTCTGTAAAACAAAATCCTCTTAATAGCACTGATGAATGGTAGGCAGTCCTAATGTTCTCTTTTAGATAAAGAATAAATCTTAAGTAACAAATATGATAAGGTGACAGAACTTGAATTTTAGCCCAGGTCACAAAATCTACATTTTTAACAATACTATACTGTATCACAGCTTCAGATCTTTTGATTATTTACTTTCATGAGGTGGTGAGTGGGGAGGATAAATCTAATGATTTTCGATTGCCATAAAAAAATACACAAAGTTAGAACTAAGTTTCCTTTAATAGTCCTAAAGCTTATAAGTGTCATATTAAAAGTTCCTTTAGGGCTCTCCCTGGTGGCCTAGTGGGTTAAAGCACAGCACTGAGAATCTAAAGCGGCTTCCGCAGCATGAGTTCGATTCCCGCCTGCCCCGGAGGTGACCACATGGTGTG